ATACTTTTACTAGGAGCAGGCAAAAACGAACAGATACAAGATGCTTTTAATCTTTTTTGTCTTCTTACACTCTTTAGGCTATCCGCGTTTCGTAGCGAAATATTAATAAAGCACTAACGAGGGTGGGGGATCGACTTCATCCAGGAAAACCTTAAAAAATATTATCTAATGAGAAAAAAATTAAACAGCAGACTGAGTAGATTTTGCACATTTATTCAATGCCTCCATGAGTCCTGTGGATTCCGTTGATAATTTATTCGGATTATTTATTATTTACACAGATTAGTCACAAATAAAAAAGAACCTATGAACTTTTCACAGACTTATATCGATAGAAGCCGCTACAGAAAAACCTACCCTAAGGTCGTTGAGGTAAATTATCACCCATTTTAAGGTTAAAAATCGAATGTAATTAAACGACGAGTTGCTTTTGGGTTTGGGTAGTCAATTTATTAATCTTAAGGTGTTTTTAATGATTAATATAGTCTACTAAAACAGGCTAATTAAGCTGAAGGTACGTTTACTCAAAAAATTACTAAAACATCATTTTCTTTTGAAGCAATGGTTTCTGAAACAAATGTGTTTTAGTGCGTGTCACCTCGAACGAACCAATAAGTTTTCAGGCGCGCTCTAAGAGCTCGGTGTTACCGAAGTCATTCGTAAATTTCGGAAAAAATGCCAGGTTCTGATGGCGTTTCAGCATTACTTGAAAAGGCATGAATAGTTTGGTTACGTATATTTAGATCTTTAGATGGCAGCTGCGGACACGGATTTTAGGTTTATGGCTCTTAATGACCTGATTAACGGTTTGCAAAACGGTACAATCAATATCAAACAGTGGAATGATCCGCATTATGAAAAATCTGTAGTGTTTCCTTTTTCTTTTTACCATTTCAGCTCGTGAGGAGTGTTATGCACCTTCTTAATGACGGCCATGGAGAAGTACAAAGCTTGGCTGTCAATGCGTAATTTGAAATTGTTTCCATGATTACGGGTAGAGTTTCTATATTGTTTCAGAACGTGTCCCCATCACAAGCATCTTTCATTATTACTGAATTGGTCTCGGGA